TCTATTCATTCCTTCCTTTCTTCATAGTTTTGCTCAGAGGTGGTCTTAACTCTAACAGAAGGTAACAGGAAATCAAAATTAGTTACATTAAAACTCATGGAAAGGGGAGAAAGATAACAGTAATCAATCAATCTTTTTAGTTACAGAGGGTTGTATTTTGATATGATTCAAACCTAATGTATTTTATGACAAGAATTGGCAGGACTTTTCAGAATTGAGCACTTGTAGGGTAAATGTAAGACATATGCCCTATTCCCCCTCCCCTTGCTAATGACCCTTCCCTAATCAGGAGTATGGTCCTTGGCCAATGCCCTCTATACCCAGTCAAAATGTCCTTAAAGATATGCATACCCATGTACTCAAGACAGTACTAAGAGAGTAAACATATTTGTTTCTGCTTATTTGCACATAATGCTATTGTTTGTGTCTTGCTGCCTTCCCCACACTGCAGTCATAAGACTTCAAATAATAACCACTGGAGCTTCTTTAAAGCCCCAGTGGGGTGAAGAGAATAACTTGTGATTGCCAGCCCCACAGAGCATTGTACGTGGGTTTAATGCCCTCCATTGGGTTTGAGAGATACAGACCAAACCATGTTGGTGCTCTCTCTGTTATCCTCATGGGAGGAGGGTATAGAAAAAGGATTAAAGATATGTCCCTCTGTCATGGGTCACTAGATCAACATGGTTAAATGCATAAATCACACGGATCAGACCATTTCCCCAGGAACAATAATGATATCCTTATGGAATTTTAGGACTCCCTCTTTGTCTCTAACAATACTGGATAAGAGAGCTTCCAGACCTGATAGAGGTGGGTATGCATAAGCCAGGAGGCCCCTCAACAAATGTGACTATCCCGTCTCAAGACAAATCTGTGGCATGTATCCTGCCTAACAAACGTGACTTGTCTCTGCTGGTACCTGTTAAACATCTCCCTGATCACGCTTAGTCTGGTTACAGGAAATACCTATCTGCCATGGGCAGTGACTTTTGCATGGGTCCACAATCAATCAGCCTGCTGGGCCTGCTGGGAATTCCCTTTGTCTGCTTCATCTGGACTACTCTGGACGATGCAAACTGCAAACCCGACTGGATAGGCTTGGCTCTAGGAATGAAATAAGCAGACCACCACTAGATTGACCAGGCACTCAATAGGTATAATGATACCAAGCAACAAGTTTTGCCTTAGAGAACAAGTAAATCAGTCACATCATATGCTACAGTATTCGATATGGGATGAGGAGAGGTGGTTAACTGCTGTGTAGGTCCAACTATGGGTCCCTGCTGTCCTATGCATAGAACAGAGAAATGGAACCCAGAATGAGAACAAGCAAAAAATAGGATGAACTCCAGGAAAGCTGTGCCTCAACATCTCCAGGCTGAATAGCACAGAGAAGTGGGGACAGCAGAACTACTCATTAAGGAGTAGAGTTCATCCTGTATGCTGGGGATCCTGTGGGCATGCAGATTTCAGGGCTTGCCCCATTTACATACCAGCAGTGTTTGATCCCTCCCTCCCCCACCTAATAATTGGGATGCATTCTCTGCATGGCACAGAAAGCATCACGCCCCCTGGTGGTTTTATCCCCCTGCAATTCCACCCCAATCCCAAGCAGGGCGTTATTTACATTGAGAAAGCAGTCTAGACCTTGGCTAATCATACAGCTAATGCTCTCAACACAAGCTCTCAGGATCTCCAGCTATTAAATGAGGAAATCTCACAACTATGCAGTCTTATAGAATAGAAATGTTCTGGATATGCTAACAGTCGCACAGGGAGGTACCTGTGCTATGACAAAAGTTGTGTTTGTATTCCTGATCTTTCCTACAATGTAACTACGGCCTTAACCACTAAGCATACTAAAGTCAAGGCCATCTGTGCCAGGGCTCAGGACTCTTTGTCTGATTGGTTTTCCTCTCTTAATTCAATGTGGAAGAAAGGTATAAGTACGAGGGGGACTTCTTCCCAAAAAATGGAATTATTTTTTGGAGGGCAGGCCCCTTGTAGTACAGGCTTCCCCCACTGGGTAAGTGTTCTAGGGATCCACCGGCATCAGTGTACCAGCTAGTGTTGTTGTAAGAGGCTGCGTTAGGATTCAGGGAATATTTTAGAGAAGATTCAACACGTTTGAAGATTTTCGAGAAGATTCAAACCAGCCTGGATGGGCTTGGCTCCAGGATGGGCTTGGCCCATTTCATGATGGGTGATTTATGAGTGCCCCTGCCCACACTGCACTGAGTGTTCAGTGGTTTTTGAACAAAAACCGCATGACCCCCTTGCCTCACCCTCCCTATTCACTTGATTTCACCCCAAGCAATTTTTTTGTTTGTTTGTTTCCCTAGATGAAAAAAGTCCTCAAAGGGAAACGTTTTGCTGATGTGGAAGAGATGAAATAAAAATGGCAGAAGCACCAAGAGGCATCAAAATTAATGAGTTCAAAAACTGCTTTGAGCAGTGGAAAAAACATCTTGATAAGTGTATTGCATCAAACGGAGAGTACTTTGAAGGTGTCTGAAGTTTAAACATTTAAGAATAAACATACAATTTTTAATAAATAAATCCCAGGAAATCGCTTCGGGTTCCCTCCCACTATGGGAGCTTTTCTGTCCTCTCAATAAATCCTGGTTTCTCAAATAAATAAATAAATAAAATAAATGAATAAATTCCAATGTTTGGGTCCCCCCTCATAATATTATAAATATTTTACTCTTTAATACCTGCAAACTGCATTGTATTTGTGGAATTTGAATGCAATATATACCTCATTACTCAGTTCCAGGGTCTATCCAGCAAACAAATGCAACATGCAGATGGTAAGGAGTGGGATATGGGGTAAATGCAGGACATATGCTTGCTTTCTCACCTGCTGAAGACTATTGCCTAATCGGGAGGATGGTCCTTGGCCAGGTCACTGGGCCTGGTCAATGCCCTTGGAGATAGGCACACCCATATACTGAAGGCATTTACTAAGAGAGTAAACATCTTTGTTTCTGCTTCTTTGTATGTAATGCTATTGTTTTGTGTTTAACTTCCTTTCCCATATTGGAGTTAGATAATATCTCCCCACATATATTGGGGGTGTGGAGAGCTTTGTACCAACCAATCACCATTGGTTCTTCCTGTAATTATCAGTAAACCCATGTTTTTACCAACCTGTCCTCTGGGTAATTTCTTTGGAATAGGTAAAACATTACACGAGTGCCCTGATTCAAGGCTCCTGCGATATAGCATTCAGTTCTGATTTTAGGGACCTCCTAATATTGGAAAAAGAGTGTATGGAATTTCACTTTGGCATTTTTCACAATGGTACTTTCAAACATTTCCCAATAGCTGAGGCCTCTAATCTATCCTTTCCCTAGCACATCATTTGTTTTCCAGGAACTCACAAGATTGAAGCCATATGGGTGCATGTTCTTAAATTCTCCCATTGTCACACCACAATCTCATATTGGTCAGCTTTTTTCTTTCTTTTATCCAATATGAATGATTTTAGTCCTCTTCATCCAAGTTTTTGAAGGAAGTGCCATTTCATTCATTTTTATAGATCCAACAGGCCAAGTATAGTGCCACGGATAGAGTTTGTACTTAGCAAAAGTTGTTGACTAAGTAGGTACCGAACTTGAAGGTTTCAGTCCAGTGTACTTCTGATTTGTCTTCTATTTCTTTTTCCCAATGTGCTTTACAATCAGTATTTTCAAAGAGAGGTGATATAAGTAGGTCAGCTATCATCCAATATTGCAGACATATCTATCAGGACACTTCAAAGTCTAAGAGGGCCAGCCCATGATGACTCTGTGCCTGCTCTTATTAGTGTGGCCAGAGTACATAAAACACGAATGCCGGCAGCCGATGTTGAAGGATATGTGGCTGACTTCTGAAAGGGATAGATGGGCAGCTGGAATTTCATAGTTGTCATACCTGTATCCCTTCTAGACCCTTGTGTTAGCATGAAGCTAATAAAAAGATTCCCGGTTCAATATGAATTTCAGATAAACAACAAAAAACATCAGATGCAATATTTTGGACACACTTATTTGTGCAAAGATAGTATATAAACTCCAGGCATAGTGTCCACATTCTCGCCATCAGACAAGGGGGAGGAGGCAAAGGGCCTGTTCATTCCTGTTAAGCACACCTTCCTGATAATACCTTATGTTTAGCCTACTGATGAGAACTTGGTCACATGACCACATCTAACTAAAAGGGAGGCTGGGGAAATAGTTTTTATGATGGACAGCCATGTGCTCAGTTAAAAATTGAAGACTCGTCAGTGAGGAAAAAGGCATGAGTAGATAGGAAGGACCAACCAGCCATCTCTGTCAGAGAGGTGGTGGGAATAAAGACGTATTTTGGAGGTAAAATTGATTTGAACAGGATTGAGTACAATGATGCTGATATGGAGTCACCACAGTAACAGAGGAATAAAATATATCTTTAGTTTTTTAAAAAAATAATGTTAGTTTATAGAGCAGGGGTTCCTTTTCATTAAAATGGGAAACTCAAGAGAAATATATATTTAAAATTTATTATATGTATTTAATAAATGCCCCAAGTAAGGTACTCCCCAGATAACCTAGGAATAAGACACAGTTGCTAACCAAATCTAGTAGATGACTGTGTAGGCTTTCTTCTTCTACTGCCCAAGGCGCTGCAATTAACCACAGGTCTTTGCTCTTATTAATGTGATAAAGTAATACTTGATTATGGTGCCTGGCAAATAATAAACGCTCACCAGATGGAGTAAATGCTTAGCATTGAAAACTGCATTTTCAAACAAAAGAGTCATCTAGGAGAAACCAAATGGAATGCAAAAGTATAAAGGTTGAGACTTCTTGTGAAAAACAGTGAGTAGCTGTGGTTACAGAAATGCCACAGCACGGACCCTCCTGCAAACTGGCTCTGCTGTCCTGGCAGGAACAGAAACCACTCAATTTGCTTTCTCTTGGAAGAGACAGAGTGGCTGTCAGTTTGCCATACTCTTTTGGACTTCCTAGAAAATGGAATGTACAGAACAAGAAGGAGAGGCAGCACAAAGAGCTGGAATAAAAGTTGAAGATGAAGATGCTCATGAACATCAGGTTTCTGGTGATAGGCCAACCATTCACAGCTTTAGAGCCATGGGCAGTAACACAGCAGTATTCAATAGAGTTCTGAGAGCCCAGCACAGGAAAAGCACTTCCAGTTCCATTATCTCAATGCCAGAGTGGGTAATGATGGTAGGGGGTAGCTAGCCATAGGGGTAAGTGAGGGTAGCTAGAAAGAGGGGTATGTGGGGGTAGCTAGAAATAGGGTGAGTGGGGGTAGCTAGAAAAAGTTGTCTAAGAGATGGTTCCCGCCTTTCACATCAGGAAAAACCGGCAATTAACTCAGACGTTAAAATTTAAAAATTGTCACTTCAAAATGTCGTCTTCTCTTACTTTAAGCAACAACCAACCATTTCTCAATCAGACGAGCGATGAAGTCGATTGTATACAACAACCGGTGATGACCAGCTCAGCGGCTGGACTGAGAAAAAGCTCCAAAGCACTTCCCAAAGTCAAACTTGCACCTATAAAAGGTCATGGTCACTATTTGGTGGCCAGTTGCTGGTCTGATCCACTATAGCTTTCTAAATTCGGCAAACCCATTACATCTGAGAAGGATGCTCAGCAAATCGATGAGATGCACCGAAATCTACAGTGCCTGCAGTCAGCACTGGTCAACAACAGAAAGGGCCTGATTATTCTCCACGACAACGCCTGACTGCGCATCGCACAACCAATGCTTCCAAAATGGAACAAATTGGGCTATGAAGTTTTGCCTCATCCACCATATCCGCCAAGCCTTGGGACCTCTCGCCAACTGACTACCACTTCTTCAAGCATCTTGACAACTTTGCAGGGACAACACTTTCACAACCAGCAGAGTGCAGAAAATGCTTTCCAAGAGTTTGTTGAATCCTGAAGCACGGATTTTTATGCTACAGGAATAAACAAACTTTTATTTCACATTGGGAAAAATGTGTTGATGGTGATGCTTCCTATTTTGACTAATAAAGATGTGTTTGAGCCTAGTTACAGTGATTTAAAATCCACGGTCTGAAATCGCAATTACTTTGCACTAACCTAATAGACTGGGAAAATGTGTTGGGAGTGAAAGGCGGTAACAGATTGTTAGGAGTGTAGGGAAGAAAAGGCAAATTACAAAAGTTGAGTTTGGAGTAATTTTTATATGGAAATGGGATTTGTGTTGGGCCTTGAGAGGTAGGTAGAATTATAGCATGTAGGGAAGCAAGGACAATTTTTCTGGTAGAGGAAACATCATAACCAAAAGCATGAACAGGCTGAATGTGAGGGACACAGAGGCTCAAGATTTAGTGTATATGAAACTGTACTAGCTGGGGGAGTTGTACAATGGAGACAAATTGTGGTGGGTTTCTCATCACAGGTAGAAGATATATGATTTTATCACAACCACAAACATTAAGAGATTTGAACAGGGTAAAAGGTGGATAAATCTGTATTTTAGAGAGGTGGCAACTGAGATGATGGACTGTAAGGGTCAAGGATCAGAGGTATGAAAACCAGTTTTGAAACTGTTCCTATACTCCGGAGAAGTGTGAAAATAAAGTCTTGCGTGAGCGCAGAGGTCTTGGTTAGAATGCCAAATATTTATCAATTGAGTGACCAGGATGCATTACTTAAACTGAAACTCCTTATGTTTTCTATAATATACTGCTTAAATTTAAATCACAGCTTTGGTGTGGAAAGTAAATCAATACGTGTAAAGTGGATGGTCATTACTCAGCAAAAAATCTGTTGAAAGCTTCTACCTTATTCTTTCAGAGTACAACCTGTAGAACTCGTACCACTTCTGTTCTGGCCCCGAGTCCGCTGTTGTGCAATCTTGCTTGCCTGGCTGTCTTCCCGGACTGGGCCCCTCATTAGGGCTTCTGAAAGATCACAGCCCAAGTCTCCGCATGCCTAGCCTCAGGTAAGAGGTTTTGCACGCAGTAGGCCCTCAACAGAAACGTGGGAGCAAATAGCGTGTGAAGGGGAGAAGGAGGTGGGCGCACAGCCCGTTGAAGGCCGCGCACTCTGCAGGTTTCTGCTGCCAGCCCAAGCCCCTGGGGTCACGCCTAAGATATCACCAGTGCCAGAGCGCAGCGGGCACCGTCCCATCCCTCTTCGGGGGACAAGCAGGGTCCCCGCTCTTGCGGGGCGCAGGCGAATGGACGAGGAAGCCGAGGGCCTGCCTTCCAACTCAGGAGTGAGATTTCCCTCTTCCTCTAGGCCTTCGGGGATCCGTCTTGGGAACCCCCCCTTCTCTGGTCCTCCTTCCTGCCCGGGAGAAGCGAGGGCGCCGTTCTCCAGAGGCTGCCGGGCCGGAGGCGGCGGCGGAGCTGGGCGGTTCGCGTGGGTGTGGGGCGTGGGGGGCGGAGCGGGGCGGGGAGAGGAGAGTCCACGAACTTTCTAACTCGGCCGGGGCGACCCGCGGCGACACAGTCGTCTGCGCCGCGGGGCGGGCCGGCCTCTTCGGTCCTGGACCAGCCCGCCGGGGGAGCCGCCGCCG